CAGGCTTTAGTGGCAGCGAGTCGTGACAGAAGCCACACTCATTTCTCACACAGCAGTTTGGGGTGACATATTGGACTTGGACATGATAAGTGAGAACTTCACAGTAAACTTTTTCAACAGTTTGTGGCCACTCTGTCAAGTCCAAGCACATTCACATTGGGATTCTGTCAGAGGAAACCTCCAGGCTTTCTAATAATCTCTCAGCATCTACAGATGTACTTTAGGTTTGACTCTGATAAGGCTGCTGGAAAAGGGATCAATAATTGCCAAATCAATCTGATCGATAATCAGGGAGATTAGGGAAGTAGTGGGGTAGAGAGGATTTTGAAGTACTCTTCTCTTGCATGTCTAATGACAGGCACACTTGGACATATCTTCACTGATACAGGCATTCATTTTAATCTTACATGAATTCACATTAGCCTTTATCCCACATTATTACTGGTTTCCTGCAATAAATAACTTTTTAGGTACATTTAAAGCTTTGAATAAAAAACTACACACTCTGCCATCTCTGCTCTATTTTACGGTGCATTCAAGCTAGACATGCATTTAAAAACTTCTAAAACCGAAGTAAATCCAATAATGATGGCTCAGTAAACTATTTTAAGTAATCTTTTGTTCCTTTCCACCCATAAATCAAATCGTGATTAATAACAGAACCCACCAGCGCATTACTCATTAGCTCCAGGTAGAGCTGCTTCTGCTGTCGCCCATACAGGCCTGCGGGCAGAAATGATGTGTATCTACAACGTCTGTGGTGACGCTCCTGAAATTCCATCATCTAAGGTTTATGTGTCTGTTGCAGTTAAAAAGGATGCCTGAGCTAAGATCATTTTTCCTGTAACCCCACTATGCCTTTTTAATAAGCCAGTGCATAGTTACAAAGTACCGTCATCGCTCAGCCTCAGGGTACACATTTTTATTCCAATTACTACCTTTACACAAAGAGGAGATTATAGTTTCCGGGAACTATTTTAATACCAGGTGTGTCCAAAAAAAAAAAAAAAGACTTTAAATGTTTTTTCAGTGTAGAATGAATTCACAAACGAACGCTGCTGTGTAAATTAATTATAAATTAACAACTGCCTTAGGCAAGCTCACTGAATCCATCGTTTTTTGGACAGGGGATGATGATTTTGTACAAATTACCAAAAAAAAAAAAGCAAAGACAAAGTCCATAAATATTAATTGAATACACGCATATCTTGAAGCAGAAATACAGCTATATTGATATAGTAAATAGACTTGTTATAGAATATTCATGTTGGGGTCCACAGGTTAATTAAACTCATATGACACTGTATACAATCAAAAATGTTTGCCTGAATATTTCAGAACGTATATAAACAGAGGATAACATTCAACCCTGCAATCATTTTCTTTCAAGCTACTGGAAACTGACTGTTGGAGTCCATTCTTTGATACACAGCATCTGCCATTGTCATGACTGTTCAAATGCATATTAACAATTAGTCACTGCCCTCTACCGACAGAAAACAGGAACTGCAACGGTACAAATATGTATACAGTATTTAGAATCAATTGGTGTTCTTTTTTTTATAGTATACTGTCCTTTAAATTACATATAGGTCTCTTTGGATATCTGCAATTTAGCAGTTTGTTAACTGTGAGATCAAGTTAGCAAAACTATAAAGAATAGGATACTGTCCCTTTACTTGCATGTGAATGGCAATCACAAGGAAAAAAATATTTGTTAAATCACAGCACATATGATAAATAAAACATAAAATATTTTCTTATTTAGTGTAATAATAATGATTTTCTAGCCATTTATGTATTTTGTGAAGTCAAAGTCAAAGTGCAGCCTGTGGCAAAGAGAGGGTATCCACTTCAATACTCTTCTGCATACTCTTCTTTGGTTGAGTATTTTTATTATTCCGCCACAGCAATAGGATCAGTGAGACTCTGAACAATAAGACAAGCGCAGCTTTGAAAAACCATGTCAACAAAACAGATTTAACTAACAATATTCACACAGTGATTTGAGATTGAAGCCACCTCTATATCAGATATCATACTGTATATATAATCTTGTACTTGTGTGCAGGTGATTGTGGAGTCACCGAGGTTCATTTGATACTGAAACAAACCACATCACCTTCACTAACATAAGACTGCTGAATATTTTACATCCTGAGTGAAATGCGTCCAGTAAGGCCTGGGGAAGATAGCCTGTGGACATGGGCAGACAGGCAGATAGGTTAAATAAAAACAGCTGCTCTGGTGATTCTTGTCTTTATAAATTAATGCCATGCCAAATTGGATCTCCATGGCAATGAACAAAGGTGTCACTCAAACTTTAACAACCAAATATGCTTGACTCACGCTGAGCTCTGGGTGTAAAGTTTTGATAAAGATCATCCACCTTGTTTGAAACGTGAGCTGATGGAGCTCATTAATGTACTCTGACAGAACATTGCCAGGGAAGCTGTATTCAGTAGTGTAGTACATGGCACTTCCTGAGCCTCTACCATTTATTGTAAAAAAAAAAAGTATATGCACAATAAATTACAAGGCCAAACATTACCTTAAGATGAGCGGAAATGTGCCTCACAACTTTTATTATCTAAGCATGATCAACCCATTAGCTGTGAGTTGCTGTTATAAAATCATAAGGAATTAGTTTTGTCAGGCTGTGGGGATAATAGATGAGAATTTAAAAGTTTGTTATTCTGGCATCCATTGAACTTATTTGTCTTGACTGCAAAAAATAATTGAATTTATAAGTCAGCAGGTATAGTTATAATATGTGTATCTCAAGCAAATATTCTTTGCTGTTTTGATATAAGCAATCATAATCTACTGAAGAAATGCCTGCCAGAACATATAAAACAAAAACACAACAAAGCAGTTCTGCAGGAGATGATTTATAGCATGTATGCAATTTTCTGCAATCTCCAAAGCAGCAGTCATGCAAAATGTGGAGCAATGTTTGCCTATGATCAATATTTCAAAAACATTTTGATCTTAGGTCTAACTGTACATTAAGAGAAGACGTGTTTTCTGCTTACTCAAAAAAGGCCTCTGTACTTACAGCCTCTCTATTCACCATCAGAGTAGAGTAAAATGGATTAGATGAGACTGGCAGACAGAAGGGGCGCATTCATAACTTTAACCAATCTGAAGACACTTATAATTGGATTAAATCCTTTCTAATCTGGCTGTTTATCTCCTTTCTCTGTAGACAGGAATGTTGCCTCATCCAGATCCAGTGTGACCATGAGCTGTTAGATAAACCTGGAGCTCTGACACAGCCTGCTGTGTGAATATTAATCAACATTTAACTGGGACAAGGAAAGCATTTCAACCTTGAAATATTCATTCCTACAAAATCATTTATTTTGGGGGTATTTTGGCGATAACACCAGAATGAACTTTTGAACCAGCTCATTGGCTTACTTCCATACCGTCTACTTAGGACCATAGTTCTTCTTATTTGCTTCTATTTTAAGTCTATTGCTTTAGGGCAATAGTTACCATTTAGGACACTGAGGTCATGTCCTTGGTATTTTTTGGGACTTGTGTAGGATTACTAACCTGATGTGCAATTACAACATGGAACTATTGTACATAAAAACAACATATTTTCTATTAATTCTGATTCTGATGTTTTATTAGACTCAGTGGCCTACATTTGAAATTAGCCTGCCCTCTCTTTGTCTTGCAGCAGCATGTATCATCAATCAAAGTAATGTTTCAGGCTGCCACTGGGAGGCAGGTCAGTTGTACACAGGAAGAAACAATATGCTTCCGTATTTTGAGCAGATATAGGATTAGTCTGGTAGTGGCTCTATACATAATTAATTTTACATTGCCTACAGGTGAAAACACACCTTGGCCAGGGTTTCTGCTCAAGTGCTTTAAGGGATAGATAGACCCGTGCACCTTTTTAAAATAAACAGTAACCAGTCATATATTGCTTAGAGTATACTGTTTGCTACATCCTCCCTACCCATTCTCTCAGCAATCTTGACATCCTCATGAATTATTCCTGATCCTGGGTTGTCCTCACCCTCAGCAGGGGATTGGGTTATTTGGTGCTGATGCTACAAATGCATGATGGGGCATGAAAGAAAGAGTTACTTTACTGTGTAGACTGTGCTTTAAAATTCTTTAACATGTTAATCCTTGATCATGTTTATCAAAAGTTTTTTTTTCTTTAAATGACGTTACTTGGCAAAATGCAAATAAATCTCTCTTTACTTTGAGTTGCCAGTTAATGTGTGCTCCTTTGACCTCAGTTTAGCATAATTGGCCATCTTAACTTTTTTATGCTGATCATGATCATCTTCATCTTCATCTTCATCTTCATCTTCATCTTCATCTTCATCTTCATCTTCATCTTCATCTTCATCTCTTCCTCTTCCTCTTCCTCTTCCTCCTCCTCCTTCTTCTTCTTCTTCTTCTTCTTCTTCTTCTTCTTCTTCTGTTCTTCTGCTGCTGCTGCTGCTTCCTTTGCCAGTGTAGATACTTCCACTGTAGACCCAGAAGCTACTGGGCATATTACTGCCCTCCACAGGATATACAATTAATTGTTGAGATCACTTTTCATTATTTAGCATATCTGCTTGTATAATGCAGAAACTGTGTAACTGTTTTGGGAATCAAATGATGTTCTCATTTTTGCCAAATAATTTTTTTAACAGAATAACAAACAATTTCTAGGTCTGACAGTAAAAAAAATATAATAAAAAAAACGTTGTCTTTCAGTGTCATCCCTGCTACTGTACATTTTAGGAAGGCATGCTTGACTCAGGACTTTCACAGACATAACCCAGTAGGATGTTTTCCTATCATGTATAAATATTGCATAAGTCTCGGTAAACTACTCTCTAAACGTAGTGCGCCACGTTACACACACAAAAAAAGAGTTGCCAATCCAACACAATTAATTATACACTCGAGTTATTCGCGTTTCTTTAACATTGATCCTGCGTACTTGCCGTAGTGAATATAAAGGTTCTTTTACCCGGAAGTTCCGCCCCTTTTCATCCCTTCTCGCCCAGCTTGAGTGAGTTTCACCCTCTCACATAAAGAAAATCATAATTTCTATCCTCATCCATCTTCTTAAACACCAGTATTTACATCCCAGTTTCTGCTAACTCATGTTTATACTCTTCAGTCGCCAGATGACCAGATGATAATTTGCTTTCTAAGACATTTCTTCCTGGTGTTATAGCTGATGATCTGACCGCATCTTTCTCTGCTTTTCCGCAGCGCTCAGTCCGCTGACACGGCAGCATGGTAAGGATTTCTTCTATTTCAGTTGCTAAGTACATAAGTCTACGTAACCTTTAATATGCAGTGTAAGTGGGCATATCGTAACATGCATTGTGTATTTGTAATGATGTAATAATCGGCATATACGATGAAAATAGGTCAGCATTTGTGATTAGCATTAGCATGGTGCCGCTCGTCAACTCGCTCGGGCCACACAACTACAGGCTGTTGGCAATGGAATGATATGTTCACGACCCTTGGTGGTTTTATTTACTCAAATTACGAGACATTAACTACTCAAAAGCTAAGAGTCAAGACTGCATCAGCCGTAGGTGTTGCGAATTGATGCAGTCTTCACTTAGTTCACGTTAGATACAGGTGACTACTACTCGGTGTTAGCAAGACGTCCAAACATCTAAGGCTGATGTGCCCGTGATGCATTCACAATCTTGCAAGAATAACGATGGACCAAGTGCTGAGTTTCGACTTCTTACAGAAACGCCAGTTCCACCGGTCCACTAACACCAGTTTGCTGTTCAGTCATAATCGTGACAAGTTGTGATAAGCTTTCTGAATAAACGATGACACCCCCTTTTTTTTTTACTTATAGCCTCGTAA